ACAACAGGGTCGTAAACACTGAAAGTGGTAATTTGTTCCTCATGCATGCCCGATACCGTACGATAGATTGAATATCCCGCGGTCCCCCTTTGCTTTCTTGATACACCTATCCATTGCCAGAAAACTCGATCGTCGATTGGAAAGTCGGCGATTGACGTTTCACCAGAACATCGAAGGCGATATATTTTGTCGTTTGCCCAGCTAATGTGAACAGTCAGGAAAGCATTGAAATAAAAAAAAAAACATTGTCAACCATGCTTATTTTCAAGACTAAGCCACTTCACTTGGGCTCATTCACGTTTGACATCACTTACACTACCGCATACAAACATATAATCGGTAACATTCGGCTGATCGCTTTAGACTCCACGCACCATTTAGCACGAGAATACCAGCCAAATAAATTGTGATACTATTAAACAAAAATCCTGAGAAGCAACTTAATTTGATTGTTATTAGTCAGATTGATTATTTCATCCTCAGTTTTGTGCTACTCATAAGTAGATTTGAAAAGGACCATAGAAAAATTTAACATCACAGGAGTTGGTATTCTCAAGAAGCCCAGGAATGGATCGGAAAATGAAAATCAGAGCGACGCGATCTTCTCGACGGAATAAACGGTGTAGCCTTATCGTTCGCGTTCGTAACGCAAATTCCGAGAGGGAAAAGAGCCATGAGCCCGACGTGATTCGAACACGCAACCTTCTGATCTGGAGTCAGACGCGCTACCGTTGCGCCACGAGCTCACAGACGGGGTGGGATTAACTTACATACATATCCTCATCAACAACGACCATAAAATTGTGTTTGATGTTTATTCGGAGGTGGAAGTTATTGAGCACAAATACTGCAACTGCACCCTTTCGTTATGCTTCAGTTTTTTTCCGATTTCCCATCTTTACATTCCCTAGTTACTCGACCGGAATTGTTAGTCATTCTCATCATTGCCCTTGCGCTTTCACTTGTGGTCAACATCGCACTCAGTATCCGTTGTGCGCTTACCAAAACCTATATCGGTGAGTTATCCAAAAAATCTGGCATTTCATGGAATAGTTATGGTTGGTGTACTGCTGCTAAGCATATACGCCCAATGTTGCACCCAACGGAAAAGAAGTTGTGCTCCCCTTACCCGAACAATGGACCGAAATGTAAGAATTTGCACCATGAAAAATTATTTAGAGGCATCCGTAGTCAAAGAGTGGATTAACATCGCCCTTGGGATTATCTGAAATCTCCCACCGATTATTCGAAAAACGAGTAGAATTTTCTAGACAGTGTAACCAATGCACTCGACATTAAGGTGGCTTACAAGGGACAAATTTCAAAGGGGGACGCAATACTTTTGTCGCGTTGAAAAGTCTACTTTATTATAGTACTGTTCGCATCATATATAGTTCGGTGAAATTTATTTCAGTTTTCCATTTCGCTGCCATCTGGACTCTGAAAATACATGGGGACGAAGACAATCCGAAATCTGAGGGATGAAATACTTTCGGCAAGGGGGCATACTGTTTCCTCACTACTTGTAGCTTTGGCCATACTGAATACTAAGGGGACTGCCCTTCATGATTAAAATCCACTTCGTCTTTGAGGATGCGCGAAAGTCATAAGTCTTAGTTCAATAATTGCTAAGTTCCTGAGGATACTCACATGGAAAAACGCCTAATCCAACGAATTGATGGGTTAGCGATAAAAGATTATCATGTAATTTAACTTCCACCGGAGTTAGCGCCGAAGTTATGAGAGAGAGAGAGAGGGAAAACATGTTTTATTTTGGTAATGGATTGTATCTAAATGAGAGGATTGAATGTATTAGAAAACACAATCGGTTTCGTAATTGTTGTCATTCAACAGGTATGCATCCGACCTACTTTTATGTACGTAAACCCTCAACGTGCCTTATAGCAATCAATATTTTCTCGTTAATAAGAATCCAGCAAAACAACCTCCCCACTCCTGATTTTAAGTTATTTTGGCTGGAACTATTTAGTTTGTTTCTTTTGGCAATTGAACTCTTCACGATTACTACAAAAATCATGTTTATCTCAAGCAGCACAACGAAAAAAGTCACCAGTTTTTCAAATAAATCAGACCACGAACAATACATACATACATACATACATACATACATACATATACGTATACTTTTATACATACATTGTTTTATATCCAGTCCACGGAAGGTCTGTTTTACCCCAGAGATTATCATTTTCTTCTGTATCTGTATTTTATCTTTGAGTGTGAATTGGATCTCCGGTCTTCTCAACCAAATCCAAAGCCATTCGTCTCGGCAATAACTTAATCTATGCTCATGATCTGCGCAGTCTGTAGTCCAACCTGGTTAACCGCCGTACCGCGCTTATCATTGCTGCAAGTAGGCAATCAGGAGTTAATATCTCACCTGCTTTCATCTTCTGATTCTCAGTCAAGAGTGAAACTATCGTGACGAGTAATCACATCATTGCCTGAAAGGAGAGCTTCATGTGGAAATAAAGGACTTAGACAAAAATTAATTAGAGAATGAAGTTCAGCATAAATGAGTAATCTTAATTCTTTTGTCGTTATCGTTTTATCGTTGATGCTTTTTCTCTCTCTTTTCGATTTCTGAACCTAGATCATATGTTTCAAGGGAAACTGAATCCGTGCCTAGAAAGTGTTCTATGTCTCCGACGTCAGCGAAAACCTAGCAGTGCAAGTCGACCGGGAGTCTTGTTTGGATCCTTGACCAATGGAGCCACATCACGTGGTGACTTGTCATGCGCGATGCTTGCATCCCATTACGGCCGGGTTGGTTTGGATCACCCGAATAGTGGCAACCACTCCGCAGATGCGATGCTCTTTTTTCCAAATACGTCTACGAATGGGAAAAATGGAACTGGAGCTGCGGTGAATCTCCCTTCGTCCATGTTACATACACGAGGCCATGGGAAAAACGGCGGCCTCGGTGTGTCTACACTCTCCGGACCAAACTATGTTAGTTTCGGTCCCCTCGGGACCAGTATGCTTGTATCGCCGAGTCCAGCACAACTCACTACCACCACCAGTCCCGAGCACGGAACCGGTGGCGGTTTCGGAAATAAAAATGGAATTTGTGCAACCAACGGAAGTTTGACAAACTCGATTGTTCTGACAAACGATTCGCTGAGTTATACTGACGCAATGGGTAGCAACGGGCCGTCCTACTTGGTGATTAATTCAAATACGCAGTCACCGATTGGACGAAAACCTTTCTCTAACGATGATTCCATTCGTCTTTCTTCGCCTTATTTCTTTTCACACTCAGATGCGAAGCGTATAACGATTTGTGGTCAGCAGGAGAAGTCCCAACAACAACAACAACAGCAGGAGCAACAGCAAGTGCTTCGCCAACAACAACCGGCACCACAAACCCATTCAAATGGTGCAGAGACAGTCGATTGTGGGTACGAGGATTCCAGCAGTTCCGTACCCGGCTCAAATCTATTTCCTTCAAGCATGACTCCTTTACTAGTTCGGTTACCTTCAGGCGAAGCTGGATATCTGTTGTGCCCAAGAAGGCAAGACAGTGTGGATCGAGAATTCACCACCAACAGTTTACCGAAGAGCTGTCGAAATCAAATTACCGGAGGGAGCTTTTACTCCAACAACAGTCGTACAGGGCCTGGATCGATGAGACACAAAACAAATAGCACTTTACTGACATCAGTCGACACAGATTCGGACTCAAGGCAAAATGATATACATCGGTTTTTCCCGTTCTCCCGGCAACGCCAAGCGGATCATTCGCTAGAACAGAACCATTCAATCGATCATCACCACGTCTCAATTCTTCATGGAAACCAGGCTGGAAGTCCGTTGGGGTCAGAAACCGGACGAGCCATGGAGCTAATTATATCTCGAGCCATTGGAGATGAATTTAAGTGTCCTTCTGATGATGCGGGAACTACAGCTACGAATAACTCTCTTATCACTATTGACAGATCAAACTCCGAAGCTGATAGCATGCAGAACACTTCACAACTAGAGTTTCGGCATGTCACGCAAAGTCCACAAAAGATTATTAACGTTACACAGGAGCCTACAAAAATGCAGTTGAATCTAATTTCAGAAAGACTGAAAGGATTTGGTGCTGAGTCAACGCCGTCTTCTGCGTTTAAAATGACAAACGGCCAAATGGACAGTGGACTCAGTCAGTCGAGTTCGAACTGAATATACGTCCCATATACTCACTACAGACACTACTAACACACCATCAACAGGTAGTAGCTTTTTTATGGTATCCGTATGTCCATATGTATAACTATAACAACAAATGAGCGAGACTGAGACGTTCCTAAATTTACATTTGATATTTTACGCATGCATGTTTCTGTCCCATTTGAGAATTGAAAAAAGCACTGAATAGAATAATGCTACTTTATTGGAAAATAGTAGCCACGCAATGAACAATAATTTTTTCTTGTGTATTGTCAAATGGTTTTTCCGGTTCATCTGTACATTTTTGCTCTTTAACATCTTTTTTCTTTTGGGAGACAATTTTAACCTGGTGGATTTTATGAAATCGGTCTATGAATTTCCGTTTTTCGTTATTTATGCATTTCCTGTTTTTTGGCAGATTTTGAAATACATCCATCAGCACCTTTGCTGTTCGGTATATCACACTTATTTACAACTGGAATAATAAATGATTTATTTTATGCCAATACGAAAATCTTCTGTCGGTCGTTGTCAAACCGTTCCTAGAATTCGGTATCCTGTTAAAAATGTATTCTCATATGAAACGGAAGGGTTTTTGTACTTGTAGTCACCAATATATTTAGTAGTAAACATATAGATCAACTTTTGTAGTCATAATCTCATCCAACTAAACAAATGATCAGTCAAAAATGATGAATCCGCCTCGGAACAAACGATGATCTATTTCGAGGAAAGAGAGAAGATGAATTGTTAGTTGTATAGTGAAAAACACTTACCAGGACTCTGTATGATCAAAATTCACACAATCTAATCTGGAAGGCATAAATTTGTCTTTTCAGCCTGAATGGGAGAGTTGAGTACATGACTGTCATGGGACATACAGAAGCTGTGAAGTATCGGGTTCTTTTATATTCATTGTTTCTCGAACCAAAATAATCAAAGGTCGATACTCAAATTTCCCACACACATTTGTTTTAAAATAGTTCTGTCGTCAATGCCTCATTCTCCCTCACACACATACGCCTCATATTCGATGTGATTGTCTGGAATTGGGGTCACTGATCCCCTAAGCGTAGGACATATGGGTAAAACGATCAATAAAACCGTTGTCGAATTGGCTGGGGTTGACTCTATATCCAAACAGGAGACTTTCTTTCAACTAACGGCACAAAAAAGGCTTAGTTCAGAACACATGACTTATGCTAATTTGTGACGTCATGATAATGTCAGACCTAGATGTTTCTTGTTGGCGCAAGGATAAAATAAATAAACACTGCACCGGTTCAATCTTATACAATCAAATATAGCGGGCTTTCGTGCGAGATTTACCCGAAAGATGAGCTGGGGCTGTCTAAGTTAAAAATCTGGTTGATCTATTTACCAAGCAGCTTAAGTTCTGCCGTACAGGTTAGGCGCAATCCTTTAGAAACTGATTAAACTAAAAATTCGCCTAGGCTATGATGGAAAAACTTCCGAACTACCAAGAGACCCGCTCATTAATCTAACATGTGCCAATACTTTTCCCCGAGGTGTCGATCGATGCGTCTGCCGTCGAATGTGACACAGACACTGCTATTCCAGAAGCTGATTGCCGGTCACCAACCGGTTGAGAAATGGTTTCCATAAATTTATTGGGCATCGGGTAAAGTAAAACTGCATTGTGATCATTATTATTATTGCTATCATCAAAGTGTCTGTCAAGTACCACGTTTTTATAACCTCGGCATAAAATCACAACAGACTCGGTTAAAACCTGTCGTATAGGTTTATTTGTCATCTGAACGAACAGATCACTAAACTAGATAAGAACAAACTAAACCAAATATTTAAAAATTCACGTACAAACGGACTCAGCAAAATGCCCAGTTTTCGTCTGCAAATCAGAAGTAAAATCCAGCGAAATCTATTCACATATTTCTCATCAGGAAATGGAACTTCCCCATCCACTATTATCGGTTCACTGTAGCTATTACTCAGGTGAAACAGATGATAAACTTCTTCCGGTTTTTCATCGAAATAGGTGATTTCAAGGCCCGGGACTGAGTGACTGAATACAAATGAAATTTCTTGAATGTATATCGTTCCTTGTCTGAGGAAAACGACCAAAAGTGTATTCACGCGATGTTCTTCTTCCTGCGAAGGCACCAGCAGTACGAGAGAGGAATAACGGTAGCTGAACTATAAATTAATCGCAATCAAACCTGATCAATGTTACCACTCCGTTTTGGTTAAATGGCGAGACTAGCTGAGGTACAGATTTTATTGGGGTTCAATAGGATGTTTCAGATTTTCAGCTCGACAGTTTTGCTTGACGTTCTGTGCTGTTGCACAATAAATGCTATCTTCCGACAAACTCAACCTGGTGTGCATACGTCCCCGCAGTGGTGGTCAAGAGGTTACAGGCACCAACATATCGCCAGAGTGTGGGGGGCGTCTATTTAGACCCCACCGCCGGCACCTTACTTCCCGTATTTCGTTTCATCTTAGAGCAGTCCTATTACTGACCGCTTCCTCCTTCCTAAGAGTTGTTTTTATTATCGTATATTCCATAGAATGGTCTCCGAAAGCGTCATCATGGTCGGAGGTGGGTGTCTAGGCTTGCGGCTGGTCACCCTTCCCCGGCACCTCACGAAATGTTCCCATACGACCAAGCGTCTCAAATAGCCTCAACTAAGGAAGCCCTACTCACTGCCTTCTCGTGACGGAGGTGTTTTTACACGAACGTGAGAGGACGAAAAGCCGATATCCGGGGCTATAACCGGGTTGGTGAACTACTGGCAGATCACCTAGGGGAGTAAGCCAAAAACCCTGATTCCAAACCAACCAAACAAACCGATATCGGACACAATTATCCCATTCGCAACGCCGGGGAAGTTTGCTTCGATAGGCCTTTTGGAACCTGTCCATTTATGAA